TGAAAACTTATACTCCCTCCGTCCCATAATTATTGTCCAGTTTTATTAAAATGAAAGATTTTATTTTTTGTCAAACTTAACTATATTTTATCTTAAACAACCGGATATACCCTACATAAGTAATTGTTTAACCACTAAGATTTTATGGATAATATTTTTTACTAAGGATAAATGTGTAACTTGATCCATAAAAAGTCAAATTGGACAATAATTTTGGAACAAAATTTTTTAGACAAAGTGGACAATAATTATGGGACGGAGGGAGTAATTTGGAAAATATTTTGTTTTCCCCGTACGAGTCTATATCAAGTTATGTTTTCTTCTTATACTCACTTCTTATACTAAGTTATAAATCTTACTAGCTCCCTCGGCCGCGGAATTATTGTCAAATTTAGACTTTCATTTCTAATAAAAATTTAATAAAGAGAAAAATATGAATTAAACAATAATTTTAGGACAGAGTGAATATTTACTTAAAAGTTTTTTGGTGCAAATACAGTATACATTCATAATATTTGTGTATTTAAGAGTTTACATATTTTTCAGATGTTCTAACAAAATCTTCTTCTAGATAGATATGCCGTTCGTGAAATGCTACATTTAAATGGAAGTATGGAACCAAAGATGTTATAAATCAATTACAGACAATAACGAGCTTGAAGGTGGGCAAGTAATACCTTCTATGGTGAAGCGATTGGTGAGTATTTGACATGGAGGTAGAAGAGCTATAAAATGGTCTAAGATTGAAGAGTGGGAGATTTTATTTTATTTGTCAATTTTAATCAAAATATTACAATGTTGAGGAAGCAATCTTCACTACTAATTTTCCAACCTTGCAAAATTGCAGAATATTTTTGCATCCGACCGATTTCTACGTAAGCAAATAGAGCATTTTAAATAAATGATTTGTTCTTTTCATTCATGTTAGTCGTAGACTACTATCTAGCCGTATAATTAACTAACTCTTCTAGAGCTGATTTCGAGCCTGGATTGAATACTTAAGTTTTTTTAAAAAAAACAAAAAGGTGCCTATGTATTAATTAAGTAGAAATATCTAAACTATTACAATGCATTTTGTTATATTCTAAATTATGTAATTCTGAGACATCTTGCCTATTAACTTTTAATCAGTTGACAAGACTTGAAAGAGGCAATAAGTGGAATTAAAAGAGGGCATTATAACAAAGTAAAATAACTTAGGAAATGATAAAAAAAATTAAAGTTGTATATAAACTGAATCAAAAGTAACGTGACAGGACATAAACAGATTATGTATAATCCCAAAACTCGCTGCCTAAATTAAGTCAAATCATAAGACAAGATGAAAATGCGATTGATATTTTGATTATCTTAATCTTTAGTATGTCTTAAATTTTTTTAATCTTGTTGGTTTTTATTAGCATTCAACATAATGACTTTTGCCAGTTATTTCTTCTGTCTCATTTTAATAACTCACTTTGTTTTTCTTTTTTTTGGTCATGAATGTAAATTTCATTTCCACTGGACTTTCAAAAACTGTACAGGCCTATTATGTACTATTACATAACAATAATCGATTCCCTGAGATGCCTAGTCTGCCATGAAATCGAATATCATCATTGCTACCTTTTCTACAATTGAAATCTACCTTCCATTTGACTTCTTGTTGAATGACTTCAACTCTCTGTCCAGCTTGCATCTTCTTACTTGTACATCTTCTTTCATTCCTTTCTTGCCAAACGTGGTGCACTGCTGCATTAACACAGGCATGCAAAACTCTCTGTTTAACTCTACTATGTCTCCACTGCTTCAGTAACCTGCAGGAACTGGTTCTAAGCTTGTTGAGGTGACATCCAATTCCTAGCCATTGCAGCAGAGCTTGCACTACTTCCTACGCATAATGACACTTAAAAAATAAATGATCTATTGTTTCCCCGTTCTTCTTGCACTACTTCCTACGCATAATGACACTTAAAAAATAGATGATCTATTGTTTCCCTGTCAGTGCCACATAGATCACACAGGTCTGATCCTCGCAGTATTTGCATTTTTTCCAATCCTTCCTTAGTAAGCAACTTATCTCTCCATGCTAGCCATGCTATAACACTGTGTTTTGGCAGGCTACAGGGACTCCAAATGATTGCTACTTCTTTGCTTTTCTCTTTCTCTCCCCTAAGCAACCAATACCCACTCTTTGCTGAAATATTGTTTCTTCTCGACTTGCCAAACTCCATTTGATACCCCAGTTTTTAGTTCATCTTTGAGCTTCATTAGCTTCTTCTAATGCCAACTGCTGTCGTTTGGCGCTTGGTATTCCCAAAAATCCTTATCCTAAGTAATAGGTGTGAATCCATTTCACCCACAAGCTTTCTTTCTTCTATGCTAGGTGTCATATTTGCTTACCAATTAAAGCATTGTTCCATAATTCTGGCTTCTTTATATGCAGGCCACCTAATTTTTTTATCCCAACAAACCTCATCCCATGCAACAAGAGATTTACTCCTTCCAGATTCTGTTTGCCCCCAGAGAAATTCTCTGCATCTTTTCTCTATTTGTTGGATCATCTTCTTTGAGAGAACAAATATATTAGCCCAATAAGAGTGCAACTGTAGCAGCTTAGCATTTACCAAAGTAATCTTGCCAACATAGGATAGATGTCGTGTTGGCCAACATTTTATCCTTGCGGTTATTCTATCAGCCAAGCTTTGATAGTCATGCAAATTCCAGGCTACAGGAGATATGGGTACTCCAAGGTATCTTATAGGAAACTGACATTGGTTGAACTGCATAACCTCCTGAATCTTCTGTCTGGTCTTCTCATACATACCACCAAAGTAAATATTCGACTTTTGCAAGTTAATGGTCAGCCATGTTGTCTCTGAGAACTGGTGCGGCACCTTTTTAATCCTCTGGACTGTCTGCACATCAGCTTTACATAAGATGATAAGATCGTCACCAAAGCTTAAGTTTGTGATTTTTAATTTTTCACAAAAAGGATGATATTCAAATCCATCTTTCCCAGCTTCCTTTTTGAATAATCTGTTCAAGTACTCCATAGTCATTACAAATAAAAGAGGTGAGAGAGGATCTCCCTGCCTTAAACCTCTCTTTCCCTTAAAGAAACCAGTGGAATTCCCATTTAAGTTTATGGTGTATGAGCATGTTGTTATACAAGCCATAATCCATTGTATGAATCTAGGAGGGAACCCATAGCATTTCAACATATCCTCCACAAAACCCCAGTGTATAGAATCAAAAGCCTTTTTTAGGTCCACTTTCATAAGACAACTAGGGCTAGCATTTTTCCTTCTATATAATATTACTAACTCTTGAGTTAAGAGAACATTGTGCATTATTAATCTACCCTGTAAGAAAGCTCCTTGGTTAAGGTCTATTAATTCCGGCAAAATGTGACTAAGCCTTTTACACAAGAGTTTGGAGATACACTTGTATCATGTATTACAGCAAGAAATGGGCCGAAACTCAGCTGCATTCTATGGACTAGCATTCTTCGGTATCAAAGAGATTATGGTGGTATTCCGCTGCTTCAGTATTTTCCTCGTACCAAAGATTTCTAGCACTGCTTGACATACATCTTCCCCTACTATGTCCCAGACAGATTTGTAAAACCCACTATTATATCCGTCAGGTCCCGGACTTTTATTCTTATCTATATTGAACATCGCTTCCCTTATTTCGGCTTTAGTGAAATCTTTGATCAGGAGTATTTGCTGGTCTACAGTCAGTTTAAACCCTGAATCAAAGATTTCACTTTCGGCCATCTTTCGGGAAGTTTCAGTTCCTAGTAGCTGATGAAAGTAGCTTACAAAATGTTGTTTCACTTTTTCCCAGTCTTCTTCTAGTGCACCATTAGATTCTGTGTAAGACAGTATTTTACTCCTTATCCCTTTTTGTTTTATCTTGGCATGGAAGAAGCTCAAGTTCAAATCCCCTTCATGTACCCATTCTTCTTTAAGTTTTTGACTCCAGTAACTCAACACTGGCTTACTTTTCTCAACATAAGCCCTTAAAGCTTCTTTCTCTTTAAGTTGCAGTTCCTCACAGTTGGGATTCCCTTTTAGTTCCTCCTGAATTTCTTCAACTAGAATTTTTTGCTCCCTAGCTTGATCTTCAATCTTACTGAAATGTCTTCTATTTAGCTCCTTAAGCTTCCTTTTAGAAGTTTTTGCTTTTTCCATACTATAAACTGTTTAGTTCCTTCAACTTCTATATTCCATCCATTAGTTACTGTCTCCTTATATTGAGGATGCAGAGACCACATATTATAGAATTTAAAAGAATGTTTCTTTAACCTAGTTCCCTATTCCCATCTCACTAACAACGGAGAATGATCTGAAATACCTACAGTTAATATTGTTGTAGTGACTTCAAGAAAAAGGTCAGTCCAATTCTCATTTATTAAGGCTCCATCTAATTTGGATAGTATTCTGTCATCCCCCAGTTGCTTGTTACACCAGGTATATTTCCCCCCTAATGTTCATTTCACATAGACCCACATTTTCAAGCATAGACTGAAACTGAGGAGTATCTATACTAAGACTAGCATTACCTCCTAATTTTTCATCAGAAGTAAGTGTAGAATTAAAATCTCCAATAATAAACCAGGCTGTTGAGATGGTACCTGCCAGAGATTAGCGATCATCCCACAGCTGCATTCTACCCTAGTGTTGATAGTCTGCATACACGATTGTCAGCCAGAATTCCTTGCTGCTTCCTTTCTCTTTAACCCTGCTATGTATAAATTGTTTCTTTATGGTTACATCTCTATTTGATACTCTCCTTTCTTCCAGATCATGAGTATTCTTTCCTTCTCTTTGGTTGTGTGATTACTTAGGTAATCAAAGTGACTCTATTTCTTGGTCATCAAATCATGAACTCTTTCTCCTGTTAACTTTGTTTCCAACAAGCCCGCTATTCCGGCACCATTCATAGAGAGGTTATATTCAACCTCTCTATGTTTCAGGGGACTATTAAGTCCCCTTACATTCCAACTAATTAGATTACTCATGGTTACTAGTCCCTGGTTTAGGGTTACTAGCTCCATTGTAGCTAATCTCATTCACTGACTTCAGCTTCTCACCATGTCTTCCTTCTGCTACTTTCAGCCCTTTCTGATTCTTAATGAGTATTGATACTTCTGAGTTATGGATTATACCAACATTCCACTGAACAGAAGCATTCGTTGGAGAAACCATCTGATTAGTCTCTAATGATGCATCCACCTCCTGCTTTCCTGTTGAATGGTTTTTATCAGCAGCTTTTAGCTTTCCTGTTACTACTTCTTCCTTCGGCCCCACTACTTCTGAGCTTTGCTGACCTGCAACTGGTTTGACCTTCTTACATTGAGCCGTCTCATGTCCATAGCCCTTGCACTGTGCACATTTGACTGGTTTCCATTCATAGCATATCTTTTGAGATTGAATGATTCCATGCTCATCCTCATACCACAACTCTGTAGGCATTTTCTCTTGAATCTCCATTTCCACCAATACTCGTGCATATCCAGTTCTGTCCCTCTGAATAGTCATCTCGTCCATCTCCATGGGTTTACCTATAGTGCTTGTAAACCTGCTCAGAGTCTTTGCATTCCAGTATCTAAGTTTCAAGCCTGGAAGCTGTATCCAAACGGGTACCTTCTTTACATCCTCCACATTAAACCCTTATTCTACAGACCAATCTTTGACCACAAAGGGTTTGCTGTCAAAGTGGTAGATGCTATGCTTCAGTATCTCCTCTTTAGCAGCATTGTTGTTAAACCTAACAACATAGATTCTATTTTCCAAAAGCAGCACCTTGTCTATTCCTAGCCTTCCCCAAGTTCTTCGGATGTAACTATTAACAATTTGAAGAAGGGGATTAGCTCCCAGTATGTAACAGATTATCGATGGCTTCCAATAATCGATTACATCTTGAATTTCATCCCTATGCACTTTAGCTATTACTTTATCATGCTTCTTAGCCGACTCTATGTAAGCTAATTTCCTTTCTTGGATTGCTAGTTTCTTGGGGTCAAATTTCTCCCAAATTCCAGTCTCCTCTGAAACCCTAACTTCTTCTTGATCCAACTTTAGATTCAAATCAGAGCATTCACCTACTTCAATCACCTTATTCTTACACAATTTCTCAAACAAAGTAGGACTACCAGATGATTGACAGCCAATTTTAGGGCTGCATACTTTCGATTCAATCGGAGCCATGGACTTATTGTTTCCTTCCTTGCCGATGTTGCTTTTCAGAACTGATTTCCCTTCCACCTGTTGTTCATTTTCACTTCTTGCTGTTCCTTTCCCTTGTTTTGCCTGTTTCCCTGTCATTGCGGGCGAAGTACGCCAGAAAACAGAGATGAATCGCACAAAGCAAGTGTGTAATCACACATAGTAAAAGAGAGAAAGTCAAAAAGTCAGAATGCCAGTGTGCAATTTAAAGTTTTAATTAACTCACTTTGTTGTAGTAAATGAAATTTATAATAGTGTAAAAGTTTAGAGATTAAAGTAATAATCTTAAAAAACATGGTATTAGAAAACTGTTTCCAATATAGATTAGGTTAGAGATACATATATTAGGTGGAAAAGATATTTTTACGAACACGAGGGATTAATCAAAGTATCAAACATTACAAATAATGACTTCACCCAAAAAAAAAAGAAAAGAAACACTGAAATTTTTATACGTAGCATATGGTTAAAGATTTCATGTGAACCGGAATACGCGTACTAACTGGTAGTACTAAACTAAGGTCGTATTGTTAGATTGGTTGACCTTGACTACACCACATACTGGAGTACCTTGAGAGGGGTACAAATGATTAGATACGCTCAAATCCAGGTAACAATTATCATTACAAAAAGGGACGATTTAAGGTTAGCGAAGAAAACTTTACATTATTCCTTGTTTTTGGAGAAAATAATTTATTTTTATTAATTCAATGTGTTCTACTAAGTGTAACGGTCTCAACACAACAACCTTTTTTACATATTAATTAATAATTTTAAACTTTCTTAAAAGTTTAAAATCTATTTTTTATTATAAACATATTTATGCTTTAGTAATAAGACACGATCAACACACAACATAAATAGAACAAATAATATTTGTCATTGATTTATAATAATTTCTTTATGTTGCAAATTTTGATAGTGGTTTTGACTAATTAACTTTCCATGATGTAAACTAGTTTTTTTTTTTTTTCTTACTTGTAAAAGTTTCGTAATAGTATTAATTTTCTTTTTCTTTTATTTTTCCAAGTTCAAGCCTTCTAGGTGCATCAGCTATCAATTTCAAGGCTTACGTTGTTACGTGCATGTGTGGCTCAAATCCCTTCCATTGATTCAATTTCACTACCATTTTGATTAGTAAAGTCATCAATAACCAAACACCTTTTTAAAACACACAAAACTCTGTTTTTTCCCCTCTTTCTCTGCCTTTTCCCCTGGCCCTCCCAATTCCAATAAAAAAAAATCGATCACTCTTTCCTCTCCTTCCATTACTCCGCCATGAATGATCAATTAGCAATAGTAAGCACCAACAGAGAAAACCATGATCATCATCATCATAATCAAAGTCACCTTCAAGAATCCGATCAAGACGAAGAAATAATTCGAGATATCCATGCTCTGACCCCACCAAGACCACCTTCTTACCGGGCTGACAGCCATATCCACCGATCAGAATCTCTGTCCGTAGCAAGTGAAGGAGCTTCGAGTGAGAATTTCACAAGTATGAGCCGGGAATTCAATGCTTTGGTCATAGCTGGATCAACCATAGTTCACAACGGCAGCGAAATGGATAACAACACAGTCCATTCTTCAAGTCACAATTTGGGTCGGATTGGAGAGGATGATGATATACCTGATGAAGAAGAGACTAACCCTTTGGCTATTGTCCCTGATTATAATCCGATTGGCACCGGAGCTTCTCCGTCTAGCCGGTATCCGGCCACCTCCACCGGAGCTGCTGCTGCTGCCGGAAGTTCATCGATGATGACGACGTCGAGTGGCGGCGGCGGCCATCACCACTCTGTTCAGAGGGTGAAGAAAGAGGAGGTGGAATCCAAGATTAGTGCATGGCAAACTGCAAAGGTTGCTAAGGTTAATAATAGGTTTAAGAGGGAAGATGCTGTTATTTCTGGGTGGGAGAGTGAGCAAGTTCAGAAAGCTAATTCTTGGATGAAGAAAGTTGAGGTACGTAAAAACAGAGCCAGCTAGCTTGATTGGTTAGTAAAATATTAGTTACCGCATGGAAGTCAAATTGAGAGTATCTTCTTCTTCTTCGTTTTCTTTTAACATACTCCCGTCCCAAAATTATTGTCCAGTTTGAGATTTCACTTTTAGTACAATTTGAGCTAGAAATGAAAACATAAATTGGACAATAATTATGGGACGGAGTAAGTGTTTGTTTTGGACAATTGGTAATGTTGATTTATCCCTAGTTAAGTAATCATTAGGAGTTGAAAGTTGAAAAGAACTGAGGAGTTTCATCATTTGTGATTAGGTTAATTAGTTCTACACCACTTAAGCGCTACTTAAGTGTTTTCCTTCTTGCAGATTTTGAGTATGAGTTGAGCCCACGTACTTATTAAGTTTGTTCTCTGGAAGATAAATGTACTCTCTCGTCCCAAGAATAATTTTTATTTAAAAAAAATAGAAAGAATCATATTTGTAAAATTGAAAATCAGTATGGAATTTGCCATTCTCTGATTACTCTGTTTTGAGAGCTTTCAATTCAAGTGTTTGCGTACTCCAAAAGGCATCAAAACTAGACCTCTTGTGTTTTCTTCTCCTTTTGCCGATATGGTAGGTAATGAATGATTAGTCTACTTGGGCCTTGTTTGCTTTGTGAAAATTTGATCATAGAGTATTGGTCTTTTGATACGATTTTTTTTTGGGGGCGGGGTGGGGAATATTCCATTCGACCCAAAACAAAGTACTTCATGTTTCGTTGTCTACTTTTGTTTCGTTTGATAAAATGGACTATTTTCTTGAGATGGCGGAGTACATTTTTACACGCCTTATAACATTGTCACTCCCCGTGATCGTATATTTTCGAGACGCTAAAATCGCTGTTAATACAGAGTCTTGATTTCCACTTTTGCAATGTGTTTAAAAAGGTCCCTTTTCTCCTAGCAATTGATGAAAGTAAGATTCAGAGCAATTTGCCTGAGTTAATCAGTTCTTTTTATGGCTAATCATACCACATTTATTACTTATGCAGAGGAAACTTGAGGAGAAAAGAGCAAAAGCCCTGGAAAAGATGCAGAATGACATGGCGAAAGCCCGACGAAAAGCAGAGGAAAGAAGGGCATCAGCAGAGGCCAAGAGAGGGACAAAAGTAGCCAAGATTCTTGAAATAGCTAACTTGATGAGAGCTGTTGGAAGACCCCCAGCCAAGAGGTCCTTCTTCTAAAGCCTAAAAAGTCCACAACTTACAGTGAAAAAGAACAAAAGTACAGCTTGAGAAGCAATTATTAAGTGGATGATTGTTTTTTTACCTGCTTTTTTTTTTAACCCTTGGGGTAAGGGTAAAAAAAAAACCTTTAGAATGGATGAAGTGTGTCATCAAAATTTAGCTATTTCTTCAGAATGATTAGAAAACAAACTGAAAATGTATACACTGAACATGGTTTGTGTGCCCTTTTTTGATGGTTTTTGCTGCTTCATGTGTGTCCTGACAATATTCAGGACTTTAATCTTAATAGTCTTTGAAATGTCTGACGTTATGGATCTTCAGAATTACATTCCAAATGGGGATGCTCAAAAATCAGCTGTTCTTGAATCCTTGTTGAATATGAAGTGTGCTATATCATCTTCTGGTTCACTGCACGGTTTTTTTGCTGAATTTTCTTGTACAGCTTTTAATTAATCAAAAAACTGCATTTCTCAATTTGAGAAGTTCAAATTTTAAGTATAGATTAGGAAATTTAATAATTATTACACTCCTTCCATAGTTGCATTCAAAAGATATGGTTTACTTTATTGAATTAAGAACAAAAATGGGACAATAAAAATAACTAATTTTTCTAAGGCGGAAGAAATAACTTGTATCTTCGTTATCATTATTTCTATTTGAAGTTGAAAGAAGGCTCAACGAATTATCATTCTCAACTTATATTCTGCGTCGCAACTCGCAACACTAATCAATAAATGATAGTTGAGATTTTATAGAATGATGATTGATGATGAACAATAAATACTTCCAACACTACAATGGTACTAATGAACAAAAACGTCTTTACATGAACGGTCGACCAACCCTGCGATCTCCTCGAAGAAACTAGAAGAGGTGGTGGTTTTAATGTGGTCAGCTTGATCGTGCTCTCAACCTTTTCAACGCCAGAAGAACATATTTTCCCATAAACTATTTTTACCTCTCTAATCAATCGACCAAAGGGAATTAAGTAAAAAGCAAATCTAGCATCATCCATTTTTGGAGTGGCAACTTTTAGAGAGTAAAGTGCAAAAGCCAATTCCATTTTGTTTTCACGGGATTGTGAATCTTATAATTTCATAGTAAATTTTATTCCATTCATCCACTTAGCACTCCACACCACTCCTTCAAAATAAAGCATTACAAGACAAAATGATAAACAAAATTAATGCAAAAGGTTTGCAAGAAAGAAACGACTCATGGAAAGTGATGGCCACAAAGGGAGCCAAATTAGGTTGAAATGATCATAACGCGCAAATCATCAAATCTAACAATTGATAATATTCAGATGGTCCTGTCACTATATATAGCAGACTGTTTTGTCTACCCAAAATCGTAAACTATATATATTCCCTTTTTCGGGAAATTACTGTCCAGTTTAGTTTTTCTCTTTAATTCATTTTGTACTATAATTAAATAAAAATCTAAACAACACAATAATTTTAAGACGGAGGGAGTATTATTTTGATTAGGTTATTTAGGTTAACAAATTAGGTAGTTAGATATGATTGGTGTCTTATTAATTTTCATTCATATAAATAAGATGCATTGCCACAAAACAAAGACATGCAATGAGAAATGAAATAATCAACCTTCAAATGTTAGAATGAAAAAACAAGTGGAAAACCACAAATCTTTAATTCAAATAAAAAAGGGAAGGAAGACATTGAAAAATGATTTGAAACCAAAAACATAACTTATCCGGTTTCTAACTAAACTCTTGTTCTATCTCCTCTAGTCTCGGATGCAACACATGAACTAGTACAAGGAGTTTGACAACCGAATTCGGAGGTCACAACCGGTGTTGATGGTGGTTCCTGATCGGACAATAGATATGGTAGATCTAAAAAGTCGAGATCATCAAAATCATTACCTAGCCAGACCCATTCATCATCTTGATTAGTAGTAGTAGTAGTATTAGGAGAATTGCTGCTTACCATCTCATTGCTGAAATTTGGAACTTGAACACCCTGGTTCTCATTAGGCTCAGCAACCTTTATCTCCAAATTCAACAGTCCATCTAAATGTTGACCTATACTTTCTACTTGTTTCAGCCCAAAAGGTTGATTTTGTTGATAACAAAATCCAGCATTGAATCCATAATCTGAATGACTATCCAAAGCCATGCCACCAGAATCCTTCTTTGATGGCCATTGACCAATAGGTTCAGATATTAGAGTTGGCCTGGTGGTCCAATTAAGGTTTAAATGTTCCATTTTCTCCACAATCTGATGACGTGGATGTATTTGAAGAGGTACAGTCATCTGGGCTTGATCTTGGGCACAGAAAGCAGTATTGAATCCACCATAGTTTGGATTGTTGTAGAGGCCAACTTGTTTTGCTTCAAAAGTAGGGCTTTGTGTCCAATTGACGGACTGATTTTGAAGAAACGGCAGCTTTTGGGCTTGATGCAATTCTGGAGCTTCAATAGCTTTTTCATCTTTTCCTTCCATCACATGATTGTTGGAGGATGAACCTTTTTTTTTGTAAATCTTCAACAAAACCATTGCATCAAACTACAATACAAAAACATTCACCAAAAAAATAAAAAAAATAAAAAAAAGAAAATTAATGAGAATCATAAAAAGGCACACAAATGGAGAAGTTTTTTTTTTTTAAAAAAAAAAAGAAGGTTAAACATTATGTGACGTTGGGAAGTCGGTTGGTTCTTCGGGTGTGTATTCGCGCATCAACCAAACAGTCTTGTCATTAGGGTTGTGCTTCTCTTTATGGAATAAGAGTGTTCGTACATTCCCAATTGTTTGTTACCGAAATGCCTGATGTGTTTCGCCGCTGCAGCTGCTTTCCAGAATCCGTCTTTTGCCATACGATCCGGTCGATCTCCATTAGGAAACTTTCTTGACCTCAGGGAGAAGAAGTACGATTCGTTCTCTCTTTTATCCAATATAATGTGTACTTATCTTCGGTAAAACACAACAGAGGGTCGAAGTATGAATTTAGCGAGCATTGCAATCTATAAAAACCCCTCATCTAACAATTCTTTTAGACCGAAAGAAGTATATGTTTCGACACTTTTCACACCTGTCACTTATTACCGACATATAAAATTTCCATTGGGCATATTAGTTACGCCTTTTCTTTTTCGTTACAATTAGTAACGGTCAATTGTAGGTAAGTTACCAAGAAATCAGAATTCTAGTCACAATTCCATCATACATGGTCACCTACCACATTCTGATGGTGGCTAATTAGGTGTGATCACTGTATGGCGATTTTTACTTAATGATTACTGAAAACTACAGTTGGAGACATCAAGAAGAAAGACAAAAAAGAAAATAAAAATAATGGACAGGTGTATCTCTGATACAAATTTAATCATGTTACACCCACAAACCTTTATCACTCAATTACTACTAACCAAACCAATTCGTCCCAAAATAATATTTGTAGTGATTTTTTTTTTTTTATTTTCTAACGGATATAAGAAAATAATTTCGTGAAATACTTACAAAAAAGCTGCATAGGAGAATATGCATAAATATCACATCTTGAATTGGACATCCTTGATGATGTTGTCCTTTGAGCTTCGATTTAAGATGATGGATTAACTCTTGATCAGTCGGACAAAATCGGAAACCTCGTGGAATTTCCATCGTCCAAAGAACCCCCAGAAAAGTGAAAATAACAGAAAAACAATGAGAACCCCCCCCCCCCAAGCTGAGCTATGAAGAGGAAGAAATAAGAATAATTGATGTTGTGTTATATATAAATTATTGAGGAGAAAAAAAAAACGTCCTATTTCCTGGGGGATTCATATTCTGATGAACGGAGTTGTACGGAAAATATGATTACTTGGGATTCATATATAAATATTTACGATTTATTAATGTCTGATTACTTTTTTTTGGTTGTGTTTATCATTAGGACGTACGTTAGGATGTGTGCTGGAAATTGGAAAATGGCTTCGGAAGAAATATTTTTATTCTTTCTCACATTAAAAAAAAAATTATTGATCCATGTAACCATCTAATTCAACGAAACTATTATAAGTTTTAATTAACCTGCCCAGTCAATATTGATTTTTTGTTGCGTCTTCTAGAGATGTTATCAATTGAAGTAGCTTATTACTCTTTTGTATCAAAAAAAAAAAAATCACATTTAATTTTGAGATTTATACAGTATTTATTTTACAAATCTTAAAACTCAATATGAGTAATTTTTTTTTTTTTTGGTACAATATGAGTTTTTTTTTTCTTTTTGGCAGAAGAAGTATCTTATTAAGAGTTTTTCAAGCGTTTGTTTTTAGTGAGAATTTCTGAAGTATATTAAAAATGTAATAAGTTTTAATAAATTATAAAAACAAAACAAATTTTAACCAGCCGAAGCTAAAGTAAATTTGCGTAGGTTTTGTATAGATTCTAGAACAATGGAACTAATTAATTTTTCTGAACAAAAAAGTAAAACCAAAAGTAAAAAATAAAATCCATCGGCCATTGCACACTACCAAAAGATTCATTGGCGTTTGCAGTTTGCGAGTCTCAATCACGGAATTGAAGGTGACAAAAAGGGGGAGGGCATAACAATTAACAATGGATTTGACTATTGGAATTAGAGTCGATAGTTGGAAGAGAAAAATAAAATAAAAAGTATAACATGATTACACTTCCATGATTATACTCCTTCCGGTCCTTAACCTAAAACATTATGATTCGCTCTATGTTTCACCTAATATACATTTTTAATTGAAAAAAAACTTTAAAAATAAATTTTCTTATTCGTTGTGCTCTTCTAAATTCTTGTATATATATTTTTAAGGTTTATTTAAAATTAAAAAAAATACATATCATGTGAAATTTAGCACAAATCAAAATGTCTTATATTAAGGACCGGAAGAAATGATAATTTTTAACGTTAAATATGTTAAACTAATGATTTTGATTATAAACAAGTTGAATCTACAAGAATGGTGGAGAGGAATTATGAATATCATACTCCTTCCGTCCCATAATTATTGTCCAGTTTGGGTTTTCATTTTTAGTTCAAATTATACTAAAAGTGAAATCTGAAACTGGATAATAATTTTTGGACAGGAGGATATATGATATGTATCTATTTATAGAAACAAATTTTTCACGCATCAGCCTCATGACTTAGGTGACAGAGTGGGAATATAAATATATTAAAATAGTTGAAAACCAGGGGTATTTAGCGCCGAATGATTTAACAAAGTTCGGAAAGGTGAATTTAATGGTTTCTTCATCTGTGTATAGATTTCGCATAATGAGCAAAATTGTGAGCAACCAAATTGCACTCAAGTCCAACCCATATATAATAATAATAATACGGAGATTTTGGGGAAGATTCTTGGAATTTACTTTGCAGATGATTATGTATGCAAAATCCAAGAGAGAAAATTAGCCCCTTTTGAAACGCTCAAAAAGGGTATCTTCTTTTAATAACATCATCACCCAAGAAAATCTAATTGTGATGTTAAAGTTTCAAGACTCTAACCCCTTATAATTGGTCAATCAAAGAATATAGTTGGGGATAATCTAACTAAAACCAGCAAAACTGTGAAAGTGACATTTTCTTTAGCAAATAGATTGACACATAAGTAGTAGTATTTGCCTAATTTAATCAGAAATCCCAATAAAACGACAAGATTATATATTGTGGGTGAACCGTAGGTTGCTTTCTAACTTTGGCCGACTGGAAAAGTATTTAATTTCTATGTGTTTGCCAAGAAATTAACATCAAGAATTCTGGCGTCTGTCGCCATACTTTGACCCAGAAGTCGGCAAGAGTTTCTAAACTAAATAGGATAGACTCAGCGACTCACTCGCCACACTTTCTGACTAGGTTCTTTTTCTTTTTTCTTTTTTTTTTCCTCCTTTTTTTATTGGTCATAATGATAGTTTTGTTGGAAATTAGAGGGCCAAGATAGAGTCCGTATCCAGTGTCCCCGGGTATACCGTATACCCCCACCAAACACACGCACTACACGCGTTCAACATTTTTTACTGAGTCCGTATCCAGTGCACCTGGGTATACCGTATACCCCCACCAAACACACGCGTTACACGCGCTCAACATTTTTCACCTTTACATAAATGCTGGTTATCCACCCATTCATACTGCTTATCTACAAGTTGTAAACTGGTTATTCAGAAGGTGTAAACTGATTATCCACAATTTGTAAACTGGTTATCCACAAGGTGTAAACTGGTTATCCACAAGTTGTAAACTGGTTATCCAGAATGTGTAAACTAATTATCCACAATTCCCAAACAACAAAACAAGGATTCAGAGAGGGCTTTCAAAAAGACATAACAAAAGAAAATACCCATAAGAAAATGGCTATCCAAACGGCATGATCATTGGGGGGGCAAACCTGCCCCCCAATGATAAACTAAACGACTCCCGCGGCTACCGGAATCGCAGGTCACCAACCTGCCCCGGCTGCGCCGCCCCGCCGAACACGCCAATGTAGCTAAGGTAATCCTTTTTTCGTGTGTGTGTAAGGAGAGTGTGTTATTGCGTTAAGAGGGGACACAAATTACTTGTATAAATCCCCCCGTGATAAACTAACGACCCGGCTGCGCCGGTGCCCGCGCCTGCGCCACCCCCATACCGAAGACTTTCATAAATAGTATTTAATTGAATGAGGGGCATTTTGTCAATTGATGGAGAACAAAAAATGAATTAGGGGCAGTTTGCCAAATGATGGAAATAAGGTACGTTCAATTGTGTATAACTAATTATCCATATTGTCAATACTGGTTATCCAACTGTGTATAACTAATTATCCATCTTGCCAACACTGGTTATCCACGTTGTGAACACTGGTTGTCCATAGTGTGTAGCTGGTTATCCATAGTGTGCACACTAGTTATCCAGCTATGTTTAACTAGTTATCCATAGTGTGCACACTGGTTATCCAGCTATGTTTAACTAATTATCTATAGTGTGCACACTGGTTATCCAGCTATGTTTAACTAGTTATCTATAGTGTGCACACTAGTTATCCAGTTATGTTTAACTAGTTATCCATAGTGTGTACACTGGTTATCCACAGAAGGTTTAAAAAAAAAAGAAGAAAGAAAGTTGAATTATCTAGCAAGCTCACACTATTCTAAGAGAGTAAAGTACACGCGCAGGGGGGTACACGGTGCCCCCGAATATACCAGATAATTTGCCCCAAGACAAGGCTATGATCGATCAGTTTCCTCATTACCATAAATCTTAAGCGGAATAAGGAGATGTAATAATATAAACATATCACACTCACCATTTTACAAAGAGTGTAATACAAAATTATATTCCCACAATATGTTCTTATAATTGAAAATAAAACCTTAAAATTATTTTATAATTAGAAATGCATGATAAATAAGAAAATATATATTTTAAGATTTTATTTTAATTATAAAATATAATAAATGAAACTTAAGACAAATCAGAATGCTCTATAATAAGAATCAGAAGGGGTATCGCCTCTGTCTAAAAAAACAGTCTAAATAGAGATTACTAATTTGTACGATTTTTAGTACAAATAAACAAATTCAATATGAACAATTTTTGTAGGAGACAGAGGGAGTAATTGAATATATACTTATTATTTCTAAATTTTACTTTTATAAATAAAAAATACCATTCGTCAAATGACAAAGTCCTTGTTAGGATGCCCAATAATATCAATGCCATATAAGTTTTTCTTTTTAATTTTCTTTATTTATCAATCTAAATTTTATGTTATGGAAATTAAATGTTACTTTCTTAATTAAATTATTTACATTATTTTTTCATTAATATTAAAATCCAAACAAGAAAATAAGTGAAACTGTTTAGGCAATGATCAACAAGGTGACACGATACCATTGAGCGTCATAACAAGATCTCTATCATTTTATCTGTGAATACTAGTTCAACAATTTTATAACTAGTACTATCTTGTATCTTGTATCTTATATAACCATAATACATAATCATCTCACGAGTTCCTTCCCCCAAATAGAAATAGTTATAGTGAGAAGACTTAAGAGGCCTCGTAGGTTCTTGTGACAATTGTACAACATCTGGGAGAACACATGATAGAACCAACTAAATTTGCCGCCAACTTTCTTATTCGGTACACGTTTAACCCTAACATTATGAATTTTCGAAAAATAATTAAAAATCATCGACAAATCCAATTATAAATTACTTTCTAGAAAAAAAATTATAATCGAACTGAATAAAACCCAAAATTTTGAACATTTTAAGATTTCACTTTCAATGACAAATTTCACCAGGGTTGTTTGGAATCTTCCAAGACTTATATTGATGGACCGACGAAGAAACTTCCTCGGTATTTCCATACAGTTAACCTCAAAAAAATTTAAAATAATTTCTCTCAAATCACCCGTCATCAGAATGAATTAATGCGATGTTACCTAAAATCTGTATTTAAGTATTACTTATTACCAACTTTCTAAACATAGTACATATGTCTAAAAGTTTCTATGATTCTCCAACAAACGCCTTATCCTGGTACATGCATTACGACATTTTGATGTCATAAATAATGTCGAATAACCAAAAAAGAAAAAAAAAGAATTCTTTTTTGCTCTTTATTTCTTAAATTGTCAGATGCATTTGACCTATCTTTCTGGTCCTGTACATTCAAAAATAATGATTTCAATCTTTTACATATTCCATTTCTCATATTTTAATATTGATCCACTTTCTCGAAATTCAGAAAATTAAAATGAGATGTAAATAGTAGTATTACTTTTTTTTTGGTTAAAAAAACAGTGAATTTGTAAGGCATGTATGCTTGTTACTTTACTCTTTCAGACACAAAATAATACTTACCACCTAATTTTAAATAGATGGACTCTAAAGTTCATAATGTAAAAGTGAACATATGCGATTTAGTCCATTTAATTCTTTGTAAATTTTTCCTTATAATTTGATTTGTTAATCGGAGTATAAATACAAAGGTATAAATTTTGAACATACTTCCTCCGATCTTAATATAAGACATTTTAATTTGTCATAGATTTCACCAGTACATATTTTTAATTGATAAAAAAAATCTTAAAAATACTTCATAACAATCAAGAGAATACAATAATTATAAAAAAAATTTTAAAGGTATTTTTTTTGTGAAATATAAATACGTATAAGGTGAAATCTATATCAAAATGACTTATATTAAGGATATGAGGGAATTTATCACAAATTATTTTTCTTAATTAACCAAAGGACTTGAGTATTAGGAAATCTATATATACGTTTTTTTCGTAACTTTTTTTTTTTGTTTATCTTGGCAAATCTTTTTACTCTATTTTCGTTTTTATAAGGGATTTATTTTATTTTCCTGAAAAGAAAAGGGAAAAGGAAAAAGCCGACCTGGTCTTTGGTTGTCCAGTTTGTGAACTGAATGCGACCAAAAAAGCCACCGCTAGTCGTCCTCTTCCCCATAGACCACCCCCTCCATACCCCACAATTTGCCTTCTCCGCCTTTGCTTAGGCTACAAAATAAAATGCTTCTGAACGTTTCCTCTTACAACTTGTTCTTCTTCTCCTCCTCCAAAGTTTCCGACTTTTTGATTTATAAGCTAGTTTTCCTTTGACAATTAGACATCTCAAATCAAATTAGCACTCAAAGTTTGGTTCTTTTTCGACCCCCTTTGTTTTTTTTCTTTTTCCTCGGAAAATACGATCCCCTTTAAGGGGCAGAGACGTTACCACCCTTACATAATTGCATTACAATTTACAACCCAGAGGAAGGGAAAAAAAAAAAAAAAATCCAGAGGAGAAAAGAAGCTTCTTGGCGCTCCTTCTTTAGCTGGTATTTGGAAATCCCTTCTTCCCGGACATCGGTTTTTAATCATTGTTATTTTGCTAGATTGAGGTTGTCTGTGTTCTGTGCCTATTTTTCTTTTCATGGGTGTTCCATGATTCCATTGAGGAATGCAGTTTACAAGAAAATATGAAAAACCCATGTGTGTGAACGAGTATTTTTGCAGCAGAATGCATTTGAATTAGTGCTTTTGTAGTCCTGTTTTAAGGATTTTACATTGTATTTGAGGTCATGATGCAGTAGTATATTGTTTCTATTTTAATGCCCTTTTCAAATCTCTTTTGAGTTTTCAAAGGTTGGATTTTTGGTTGATTTTGCTGAGTTCGTTAACTTTTTCTTTGTGTAATTATTTATTGTTTGGTGATCTAAGCCAACAAGGTTCCAACGGCCATATTCTTTTGCATATCAGTCATTGCATCTTCTATCCTTTTTCTTTTGTTTGAGCTTGATATATATGTTAGTTATGGTTACAATGTGAGATCCAAAAGTTGAGATTTGTTTCTTTTTTGTTTCAGTCTGGGATTATTGACTAAGAGGACAGCTTTCAATCTCTATGGTGAGTTCTATGATATATCATTTGGTTTTAACTAACCCCGTCTAGAAGATTTATCAGTTTTTGGTTGCTGCTTTATATTGATTTGGTCTTATATTTTGATGCAAACAAAACAGGGGGAAGCTCCTGCCTTCATTGTCGATGATCTATTGGGGGACTACCCTAATGGGCTTGGTTTAAAGTCCAAAGGCCACCAAACTGCTGTTGATGCTGGCCATAAAACTGTATGCTTCCCTTTTCATCAACTTAGTGCAGTATTTCCAGGTCTTTTTACATTTCTTCAGTTAGGAAATTGTGTGTATTTATCTTTCGTATTCCGACAGTATGTGATTGGTGACACTGATGGTGAATCAGCATTGATTGGAGTTAAGGTGTTAGAGAAGTCTACTGGTGAATGGTAAGTTATAACTTTTGAGTTACTTTTTGCACCTGATTTTCTGTTTTACTCCATGAAATAGGTGATTAACTTTTTATTATGATTGAAGGATTATACCAGCTGTATTGGGAACAAAACCGCAGTCATCAAAAAGGCTTTCAGCATTGATTTTGAATGGAGATCGGATACTTATCCTCAAGGGCGGTTCTGCACATGATGACTGCTTTTGGTTTCTTGAGGTTGGTGCTTGATGCAGTATTTTTGTAGTACTTTGGTGGGAATACGAAATAGATTTTGATTTAAAACTTTAATTATTTGAAATTTCATGTGTAACAAATTGATATACTGATAATCTTTGCCTGTATACAGAAGTCTGGATGCAAAAGTAAATTTCTTTCCATAGTTCATGCATTCACATGATTTTGCTGATGAAGCTGTTATATGTCCCGTAATCAGGTTGATACACCTTTTGTAAGAGAACAGAGAAATAAACTTGGAACAGAGGTGGTTGCCTGGAGTAGAGGAGTGGTTGGTGATACTAAAATGCCAATCGTCATCAGTGGGCCTTCTGGAGTTGGAAAGGGCACCTTAATAGCTAAACTAATGAAGGAATTTCCATCAACCTTCGGTTTTTCTGTAAGCCATACCACCCGTGCTCCACGGGAGAAGGAACAGAATGGGGTTCATTATCATTTTTCTGAACGGAGTGTGATGGAGAAAGAGATTAGCAGTGGAAAGTTTCTTGAATTTGCTTCTGTGCATGGAAATCTCTATGGAACCAGTGTAGAAGCTGTTGAGGTGGTAGCAGATGCTGGAAAGGTAAAGTCTCAAAGCTAACCTCTTATCTGTTGGGAAGAAATTCTTGGTATTGTCTTTGTGTATTTTCTTGCTTTGAACACTTTTTTTTTTGGTTAACAGTTTACTACCCTAACTGTGTATTTGATCCGAGATGAGATATTAAAAGACTTAGGCTAAAAGTTTTTCAGGATGTTTCATGTGGTTCCCTGACTTTTTCAAGACCAATGATATCTGCTCAAACTGCTCTTAATTGCTGAAGTATTTCATCATAAGATTAATTGGTGAAATTGAGTCAAAAGTTCATAATTACCTAGATTACTACATAATTTGGTCTTTTGCGATGAAAGAGTTCAAATATTTTCTGTATGATGCTTGTGATTATCATTTTTTGATATTCTATGAATTATGTAATGGTCCCTTTTCGTGGCATTGAAAGTGCTTTAACACTATTCCATGTAGAGATGTATCCTTGATATTGATGTTCAAGGGGCAAGGTCCGTGAGGGCTAGTTCTCTTGAAGCCATATTCATCTTTATTTGCCCTCCCTCCTTCGAGGAGCTTGAGAAGCGCCTTCGTGCAAGGTGGGCTAACCCAGACAGTCAAGTTTTTATTCCTTTCCATGGTTGTTTGGCTAAATATGAAGTTCTTTTGTTTTGATAGAGGAACTGAAACTGAAGAACAAATGCAAAAGAGACTCAGAAATGCAAGGGCAGAGCTTGAACAGGGAAAGGCACCTGGCCTCTTTGATCATATTTTGGTTAATGATGATCTCGAGACTTGTTATAAGAGCCTTAAGGTAATTTGATACTTCATTTTGTTATTGATTCTTATTCACATGACTTAATCAATAACCTTGGGGTCATTGGGATTACATGATTGTCTCCTTGATAATCCATTGTGCTTATGTGATTTGGAGCGGTAGAGAAGCATAATTGTTTGGCAGAGAGCAAAAGACAGGTGTTTTAATACATCTTTTCTGTTCTTTTATGTAGAAACTTCTGGGGCTTGATCAGGTTGTACATTCAATCCTTGAGTCAGGTCTGTCACTTACAGAAACTTCCGTTTCAGTTTCCTTTTTTTTTTTCCTTCCATGGCCTAGATTCACAGAGTGAACCTCTAAGTGATTCTGTTTCTGAGTTTAGTTTTATGATTCTAACTTTGAATTTCTGTGTTGCAGCTCCATTGTTAGTCAACCTTCCCCAGGACCATTCCGTGTCAAAGATTGGTCAGAAGATTGTGATTGGCTCAAAAGAAGCTTCTGAAAACAGGTATGTGACTTGCTTGTATGGTTGTCTGTCTTTCCTTTTATCACACTGAACGTTCTTAATGTTGATATTTCATGCAGGTTTGTGCTGGACCTGACCTCACTAAAAGGGGGGGCCCCTGGGAGAACAAGAGGACTACAGATGTATTCTAGTGATTCCTGGAGTAATGGTTTAAATGGTCACATATAGCTTAACTCATATAAGACATCCCTTTCCTCCAGAATGTTTATGGCGTTCCTTCCATTTTTCTTCTCCATTAAGGATTATTAACTTCTGATCATTGGGATTCATTTTCTAAAAGGATTAGATGAATTATGGAGGTAGGACGTCAATCGGTTAGTTCGGCTGTCGCATCAAAGAGATTTTCCATGCTCTGCGGCCTAGGTTGATTTAGATTATGTGATATCCATTAGTCAGCAGTACTCTTTTGGAAAGCTACTAAAGTAACATGCTTACTCGAACTTTTGCATCATTAGGTGCTCTTAGTTTGAACCATTTTTTCGCTTAGATTGAAGCTTTTTTTTTTACGCTTTAGTGCCCCACTGCCCCTTAATTCGTGTGTTCCCTGAGCATCCTCATATCTTTGGTGGAGGTCTGGAATGTTTTGGTCCTCAGGACTTGAATTAGTGGGGTTTGAAAAGTGTTTCAATGGTAAAGACAATCTTTTCCATATTTAACTGATCTAAAGTACTCTCTCTGTTTTATAATTATTGTTCAGTTTGAGTTTTCATTTCTAGTTCAAATCATACTAGAAGTGAAATCTCAAACTGGACAAAAATTTTGGGACAGAGGTAGTACTCTTCTTTTGAGCTCAAGGACTGCACATTTGCTTCTAAGAACTATAAGGGTATTGATGAAGCTAATCTCATCGCTATTGATGAAATAACATCTGAATCTTGAGAATCTGACTGATATATCACAGAATGTTGAGTGTCCACTGGATTAAATGAATCAATGATGTGGGTGATATCTCATCATGAGCGCAAGTTGACAACATGGACTATGTGAATCTACATGGTTGGTGGCTAGCTGTGAAAACGACCTGTAATGGAGCTTGAAATTTTCGAGGATTCCTTTGGGTTGTAGACTAACTCGGCACAAACTTGGTAGAAATAGAAATCTACCAGCTAAGGGAAGTCTTTCAAAATTTATAAGTGGAATAGGTGAATAATCAATGTCTCCCAAAGTTAAAACAAACAAATGAATTGTTATGTGATAATAAGAAATGAAAAGAACCATCTTATTATTACTTCCTTATTAATTTAACTCCTTTGTTCGGATATAGTACTAACAAATAATCATTAATATTGGACAAAAAACAATCAAGACAAAATGAACAATGTTAATAATTTTTTTTGTTTTACATATAACAGGATACCTACCGTAGGCTCATGAGATTAATCTAGTAACAATGTCACTAATTTTGCTGGTTTTTAGATGTTCATGAATTTCTAATTTGGTAAACAATTATTGGTGGCGCCGTGGCGGCGTGCGTGGGCTCCAAACCAAACCGAAACTTCTACCAAAATGAATGGCTAGTCTGTATTGGGTCCAAAAGTTAGGCATTTCATTATTAGGTAGTGGTGAGGCCCATCAGCGTGAACTCTGGAATTGGCGGGTATGAAAATCATTTTCCTGTAATATATTTTGTGAATGAAAAGAATATCCATACTATTTGTATTTTGATTACAATTTAACACAGACTTGTCAATAATTTTCTTTTTTGTGCAATGAAAGACGCCAAAACCTAATAACCTAAACTAAAGGCAATAATAACACACCAACAGCAAAAAAAAATCGATTCTCCTACAGACTCCATGCATCTCTCTACAGTCTTTATCCAAAAAAGCAAATCTGATGCCTCCAACTATATATGCATTATCCATGGAAACAATTGAAGGGCCGCAACTTGACAAATTTCTTGCCGTCCTTTTTTTTTTTTTTTTGGATGTGTTTTATTTTGGTTTTGAACATTTTAGATTACGCCACTCACCAATAGGATTTCGTTAATCCGCCAAAGCCTAAGGCAATTCGTCCCAAAATCGCCTTGATTGTTGTGCTTAAGGAATGTAGTCACTACTACATCAAAGTTGACTCTAAATGAAATAGTGAATTTATTTACAACGTTAAAGATACCACAAAACTATGCAAATAACGGGGAACCATTTTGATATTTTCATTTGGCTCCACCAATGGTTGCAATCCCCCAACAAGAAAAATTGTTAGACTAATAATCATATGGTCATATTGCCAAATCTTACATTTCTGGAAAATATACAACGTAAATATCTCATTTTGTTGTAAAATAAGAATAATTTTCATATAAATATGGTTGAAATGTAATGAAAGAGAGATTTGCTTATGGATCGCAGCTGATGCGTGACACAATTTAAAGCCCACTAGAATTGGTCAAATCCTTTTAGTAGGAGTACAACGTTGGCAAGAAATCACGGACACGGCGGCGGCCCGCATGCGCAAAGGCAGCATACAGTATAAACTTTAGTCAAACTAACTTTATTCATTATATTTGGAGTAAGAATAAGATTAGGTTTAATGAGATATAGATTAAGGCTTGATTATTATAATTAATAAACGCATCTTGAAAAAACGAATCTACTGCTCACTTAATTTCACAAAAGTCAAACTTTTTTTCTCTTCTGCAATATGATGCACATTTCATCTTCCCATCGAAAAGTCAAAAGTAGTCAAGAATAATTACTATTACATTACGTTTAGGAAACGTGAAAGATATGCAATGTGTATGGCCATTTATGTATTGAGTTAAAATGAAGTCTTTAAAAACTATCTACTCAAATCTGAACTTTGGAATTTAAGTGTATAGTTTTTCAATTCTTTATAGTTTAGACTTTATCTTTTGAGAGGATAATAGTGATTTTTCAAATATGTTATATTCGCCCGGTTTTTCATTTAAATACATCTGGATGACAACCTTATTGTATGATAAGGTGCTAGTGTGTGAATATCAAATCCGAGCCAAATTCCGTTATATCAACCTCAAGTTACTATAATGATACACCAATTCAGCAAAGTATTTGGCCACTATTATAAGGGTTTTTTTTACTTGCCTATTAACCCATATATGTACTACCTCTTATGCACATTGCAGGACGAAAAAGTCCCGAGTGGCACAAATCTACTGAGTTCTGCAGTGAAAATGTCTCTCTTGTTCTGCAATTTCTTTCTTTCAGTGATGAAAGGGATTTTGAATATGCATGTTTTCCTACGGCAGAGTTCGGATTGACGCCTGCTGCAAGCCAAGAGATAAGCCGGTTGAAATCGTGCGATCGCGACGATCAGTTTGGTCCGGAACAGATGCATTATAACTGTTGCAATTGATGCTCTTCTCCGAATTCGCATCATCATTGTTCCGATGATGAAGATAATGATCATCAGTTTGGTTGTTGTCGTCGTCGTCGTTGTTGTTGTGGTTCAGCTGCATCTTTTTGCTGAGGAACCTTCCTCCGCAACCTCTTGCTCTTCTCATTGCATGCAAATGTCTAGACTCATGAAGATATGGCTGCCCCCCCAAAAAAAAAGAAGTGTTAAAAGAGATTTTATTATTACAAGTTCATCCTTGATTTCCTAAAGTCAGAGTCATGTTTGTAAACTGATCCCGAAAAACTGAGTAAGGGAAGTTAACATAATCTTGATCTTTCATGAAGGAGACATTTTAGAAACTGACCTTTCTTATTTTGGAAGCTTTATTTTCTAATTCGGCCTTGACACGTAACTGTCTTCGCCTTAAGATTCCGTGATATTGCTTAGCATTCACATACACGGGTTCTTCAGCCGATTCCAGCGGCAGCCGTGCTCTTTGTAACGATGAACTTGCCTGTCAAAGTAGCAACGGAATGAACTGAGAGAGCCAGGGTGCAAATTTAGATAGTAATCTGAATATACCCCGAATTTAGGTGACCAAAAAGTTTTTGCATTTACGCCCTCCTCTCCGATCCATTTTAATCACTTTGTTGGTACGGTATTAAAACGTTCAAAAAAGTGTACTATCAAATGGGACGGAAGGAATGTAACTTGTAGATGAATTCTTATGTATAAATGTACCCAAGTTTGACTGCATTGATCAGGCGAGTTAACCCAAAAAGATGATTCTGGAGAAGTGTATGGAGTGAATGCCTGCGATCAAGAAAGCGAAAGAATGCTAGGTTAGCTATGAACCTTTACATAGAGCTCTATTTCAATATGTAAACATATTCTCAAGCAAAGGTAGTTTGCTCATGCCTACTAGATCTGAGCTATGAGGGTTGATCTAATCCCAAGGCGTCCAAGTAATTAGTCGTTTAGGCGAACTTACTTACTGTGAGATAAAATCTCTAATGGTATCTTGAAACTGAAGATCAAGATGAACAAATAATGCTTACAGCTGAATGGCAAGCAAGAGTAGCTGGTGTCTTATTTCTACTCGTTGGAGAAGCCATAGTTGAAAACCTCAGATGCTCTTGCTCAGAGTTTTGGTCTAATCAACAAAACAGAAAAAACTCACCTCGGGTCAGCAACTGCGAATCGTGTAACTACCACTACATATAGGAAATCCAATTACCCCTAAAAATTCTATCAAAATGCACACAAGTCATCGCAGCAATTTTCATGGCTATTGATACTCTAGAAGATTGCAATTGGCAGATTCTTAGTTACAAGCATGAAATACCAACTAGCAGTAATAAGTTAAAAGAATTAGTGAATCCCTAACCAGAATTCGCGCTTATGAATCAGTATTTTCAATAAGCTGGTACAGGAAAATGAATTGGTGAACAATGTAACACAAACCAAAAAAAAAAAAAAAGTCAAAATCATGAATCACTAGGTTTCATCTATGACATATCATCAGCGTTATGTATCATTACTCTTTCCACCAAAGTAGTTTGTTAGTTATTGGGATTACCTGATTTAAGAAACCATGATGGTTCTGCTTCATCAAAGATGTTATCTTCACCATACTGTCCTCCATGCATTTGTAAGTCTTTAACCCTTAAGCCTCCATTCGGTTGGTTGAGCGAAGAGTGTACACTAGATGATCTGTTGTTTCCGAAAACCAAAACATCCGAAGGGATGCTGTTATCGCTAAATGTACTCATGAAACTGATTAGTTTCTCATCCCATGAATTTCCCTTAGCAGTAGCAACCGGTTCTAGTCTATTGGTTGCGCCTTGCTTTTCCATTGCGATTCTCCACATTTACACTTCATGAATAAAATAGACTAATCAATATATTAAAACAAAGCAACCAAAACTGCACGTACCGTTGCTGTTTTTTAGTTCAAGAAACATGACTAACTATTAATATTGAATGGAGGAGGTACAAATAATGATGACTATAGCAAACTGAACTGAAATTGTTGACACATTTGCATGAAAATTCCAATATCTATATAGGTTTGCAAGTTCCCTTCCTTACTATAAGATTTGTACCTTACGTTCATTTTAAGAAATGCCAAGTCTACAGACTACAGGTGCAAAAACCATATTTACACAAGTATTATTACAATGCTTCTGCAGCTAAACCTCTAATTCTTCCCATTATTTTAATTCACAATTACATAATATGTTTTTCAAAGCCCTGAGATGCGAGCAACCAAACAGGCATTCGCCCAGTAATCCAAAGTGAGTCTATAGAATGATAATCACACACACACACACATATCTTTTAGACACACACTTATAATTGTAATCTTCTTTTTCTCTTTTCAACTTAATGCAATTTCCCCTTTTAAGATATAATAACAATTTAGAAGTCTATTATACTCATGTTCAAACATATATGAACTTATTATGTGTTTGGGTTATCATTATGTGGAGCTAAGTAGCTAAAATCATTTCAATGTACAGTATTTTGTCTTGTGAATCTATGCATTTGTTTCACCATTTTTCAAAGCTAGTAGTTTTAAGTTTAGTTAGATCTTGTTTTATGTTTAAGTAGATACTAACAAATTCTCATTTATCCATCCACCGCCACAATTTTAAAGACTTTTATTTCACAGTACTTATATCTTTTGATATTAACAAACACTCTTATATCAATCAAAATCGCTCTTATTGATCATTATATCCAATCTCTATTTCATATAAGTATTTATCCTGTAGTTTGTTTAGGGTTTAGGTGTAAAATCTTTCTAATCTTCTCTCATTTCTTGCTAAATGATTCCCAAAAATTGTAAAAGATTCTAGTACATCTAGTTAATCATGAAGGCTTTCTATACTATTCCCTTTATCTAAAAAAATGAAATAAAATTCTAGTACAAAACTCGAAACTCAATTTAGACTATTTTTTGGGTGAAAGATATCACATTTTATCGTCATTATTTCAATGTACAATTTTGTAAGATTAAGAAAAAAAAATACTTGTAATTAAAATATGTTCTCTCTCTCTCTCTCTCTCTCTCTCTCTCTCTCTCTCTCTCTCTCTCTCTCTCTCTCTCTCTCTCTCTCTCCAAGGAAATTTTGGTTTTTAGTAGGAAATACTTATGAAAAAATTAGATGACCCTAACAAAATTCGACATCCTTGTAATAATCATCCCACAACCCTTAACCGCCCACCCAACTCTCCCGATACTATTTGTACACTTCTGGAAAAACAGTCCAGTGTAGATATGTAAATTTTTAAACTTAGACTTGTTAGATTTAAATAATCAAAAAATTATAAAATTAATAAAGAAATGATTTTCTTTTCATTTTTTCATATTAATATTTTAATTCAAAATATTAAGTTATATAATTTATAGATTTTCAATTCTCTAAATTAAACTATTTTTTTTATTTTTTTTTCCAAAATTAAACTATTTTTTCGGGACGAATGGTACAATCCTTTAAGATTTTAGTACAATCCTATTAGTTTGGTACACTATTGGTAGAATCCTGTAGATCTTTTCATTTCCAGGACTTAGGAGTTACATACTAATGCAAGAAATAAAAATATAAATGTGCAAATGGTTTAAGAAAGTACATGTTTTCACTTTATTACAAAGTCTTTTAATACCGATGCCTTAGTATTCAAACCTTTTAAAAGTATGCTTCATTGTTCTCATTTCTAGCTTCTACCATGTAGCAAATTGATTGTTCTGTTCTATGATAACAAACAAGTTAATCATCTGTTTGAAATTAACATATAAGTTTAACATTGTGAGACAAATAAAGAATCATATTTCGACATTATCAAATACAATGGAGACATTAATTACAGTGATGCAGGGTGAATCGCAGAAGCATTAACAAAAACAATTATGCGAGTCATTATGCTAGTAGAGTTTGTTAGAATATAGGCTAGCTACTCTTTCATCCCGAGTAAAAGAGAACCGGTTGTTCAACTTTCCCTTTATTCCAAAATCAATATTCCACATTTTATTAATTTTTCATAATAGGTATATATATCCTAAACGATACGTAACAAGACTACACATATGTGGTGTTATCTTTATTAAAATTAAATAAATAGGAGTACAATAAGAGTTTTTCTATGAAAATTTACTCTGTGCAATATACTAAATAATGAGTATCATCTTACATAATAAATCAGACAATATAATCATTTTGAAACAAAAAATAAAAATAAAAAATCAAAGATTGAGAAATTACATGCCACGTATCAAAAAGTTAAATCACTGGATACTGAATGAAAGTATTTTGTAAGGACTGAAAAGACAACTGGTCTCTTATTGGTGAGCAAGACTTATTTAACTAGCAACATATAATTATAATTGACATCAAATTAACCATAATATCTTTAACAGTAAAATATTGCAAAATTCCCCAGCGGATTACCCAAAGTGATAGCGCCTACACACTTCTAATGTAATAATTAATTTAATATCTCTCAAGCCTGTTAATTAATTTAGTTTTTTAAGATCTAAAAGAACTTAATAAATTAATTTTTCATATTGTTAACATGATGGAGCGTTATCGAATCCTTCTTTTTTTTTCTTTTTCTTTTTTTTTCTTTTTTTCCTCGGGAGAGAGAAAACAAGTTAAGCTAATTAGACCCTTTTATAGATGTTGGATACATGAAATGATCAAAATAATAATAATAATAATAATAATACTAAATTAAGTACCAGTTTTTGTAACTCAAAAACTCTTCATGATTTGTTTTCTTCACCATCCATCCTTTCAGAAGAGTCAATACAGATTATCGAATGTAAATCATACTTATTTTGCCCATGATTAAGTTTTCTTGCAATTATTATTATTAAAAAAAAAGGATTCAATAAGGATTGCGAGTACTACTGTAGAACACAAACAATTCTACTCCCGCTTCCTATTGTGCCTTACAAATAAGACCCAAATACGGAAAGATAAATAGGATTATGATCCTTTACAAACAACTCCCAACCAAAAGAGAGGCATTAGCTTATTTCAGGCAATCTCATTTCGAGGTGAAAAAAAAAAAAAAAAAAGTAGATTAGTGATTCGTAAAGAAATCAAATGGACCGAGTTACATATATATTTTGCCCTAACCATCGCAATAATTTAAAGTTCAGAAATGTAGGATAAACAATAACTTCCACCAAATCGGGAAACAAGGGACCATATTTTCTCCAAAAAAAAAAAAAGAAGAAGAAAAACCCATAAAGACTGAAAAAGGATATGATGAGCACTTACATCGAATTGATGAATATTCAACAAGTTTTCTGCACAAATTCATGCAAGATCATCTCTGGCTAATCTATGGTTCTTTCTTGAGCTTTTATGGGAAAATGGGAGGAGAAGAACAACAAGAAAGAAGATGACGGAAGTTAGCCAATGAGTAATGAGTGAAGAAGTACTGTAGTGTTGAAGAGAGAATCTAGAAGCAAAAAAAGGACAATTTAAAAAAAAAAATTTATTGAAAAGGGTTAGAGATAGAGAGGGGGGAGACAGAGTGAAGTGGCGTGCGAATATGGAGGATGCAAATCTCAATCTAGGATTGGGGATATCATATGTACATCAATTCGATCGACCTACAACATATGACAATTATGTGTTAACCATTATTTTAATTATACCTTTTTAATCGTTTTTAATTGGTATTTTTTTGTGTGACCCTTTTACTATGTTCAGTAACATTAGCTGTATGGTCATTTTCTATTTTGAGAGGCGATTCCACTCATTAGATTGATACACGTATACATCTAGATTCTCGTTCCATTTCTTGCCCACATGATGAGACCATTTCACCCTTTTGTTAATTCTATTGGTGTATGGTGCCATACAAGTAATCTGTGCTAGATAAATTGGTAAGTCTCATGATCTCAAGATTGTGTGTTTATTAAAATCCATTCTGTTGGACCTCATTTAAATGTGAAAAAAACTCTTTGAATAAAATTTTGATCTATGAATTTTTACAAGATCCACATAAAGCGTTATTACTGTGCTAAAATTTCAATCTCACGTCTCACCATTGTGTTGAGTGATGCATTAGGAGGAGTTTGGAATAGAAATGATGAATAAACTACTAGTCTTTTTCATGTGAAGGTGCTGTGTGTGAGTCTAACACAGGCGAATTATGATGTCAGAAAACAAATACACATGAATACTCAAAAAACAAGTTAAATAGATGAAATTGAACTTGCAATTACGAATAGTTATTTGCGATTTAACAGATTAATATATCTCGATATTAAAATACATAGTAGCTGGTGAATCTCTTATTCACCTCTCTAAATGCACTCTCTCGAAAATTATGTCATAATTACGTTCACGTATAATATTTAATGAGTGAAAGGAATGAGTTGCATGATAAAAAGTAAGAATTATGTATTGTTATCACCAAATAATTAGTGATTTAATATTTCGTTGGCTAATTATTTTATTTTGAGGGGGAGGGAGGGTGGGGGGAGACCCTAATTTCTCCATTAAGAATTGATTCATGCAACAACTAATGTAGTAACCTTTTTTTAATGGAGTGAACAAGAGATTCATTCACATGATCAACACACTTCAAAAGTTGCACAGAAATAGAAAGCGGAACCCCCAAAAAAGAAGAAGAAAATCCCAAAAAGTATAAATTCAGGGCAAAAATGTCTAAAGACAACAACATCCTTTTTCCCCCATACGAGAAGAGATTAGGAGTTTAGGACAAATTAAGGAGGGTGACAAAAGCATACTACTAATAGTGATAATAATTAAAAAAAAGTGACAAGCATTGTGATTGGTCCAGATTTGCATGCGGTGACGCTCACTTTGCCACACAATACGTGTCCTGAAAGCATGGACTTAATGGTGGTCCCCCACACAGGGTACCTACTTTTACTGTCAAACCAAAAAAATATGCCAGGTGTTGAAGACGTCGCTGTCAGGAATTGATGACTCAGCGGTAGATAACGGCGCAGCGCCGTTAGATTTGGCTCCAGTGTCCACCCGTTGGGTGACACTGCTTGGCCGTGACTCCCGCCAACGCAGCCATGGCCACATCAAACTGACGTCTCCCTACTTTCCACGCGTCCCATAACTGTTTGTTTTCATCAGTTTGAAAAGAAATCAGAGGAAAAATACATACTGTATTTCAACAGAAGTCTTGCTTGATTGGAGGCAATTGAATATTCACTCTTCTTCGTCCCGAAATTATTGTTCTAATTGAATTTTTACTCGTAATAGTACAAATTGTTTTTGGATGACTAATTGTGTTCATAATGGTGTCTTGAAAATGAAATTTCCTTTGAAGTTGCGAAATAAACTTCCTTTTAATAAGTGGAATTTCTTTTAAATCTCTTTTCTCTCAACTCTCAAGAAGCTTTGACAGGAAGAAAGTTCTCATTCTTTTAATAATAGTGGTGGTGAGATTGGCAAGGCAACCTTATCTAAGTTGATTGGACGATTTTTGAGTCATTTTCAGTAGGCATACCTTTTTATGCATTGTATATGTTGGAGTTTAATAAGTTTCTTAAAACTAGATCGTTGCAATTTTGTTTTGCTAGATTCGGCAAAAGGATGAAGTTCTACTCCCAATCAAAATCATTGACATTGGTGAGCTTTTAGTCATTGTAATTTACTTAAAGGTAAATAGAAATGATGTAGAAATTAAACGGTTAATCTGCAGGTTGCTAAATGATTCTGGTAAATAAAGTCTGATTAAAAACAATAGGCGTGCATGGTACGACAAGTACTGTTTCATTTGTTAGTACCCTATAAATGGAATCATAACGAATACTTTGATCACATCCTTACTTGTTACTTATACTGGGGACTTGTGGTTTAACGACTCACTCGAATTACTAAAATGGTTGAAAGTATCATTTGATCATAGATTCCTATCCACCAAATGTTTTGATTTGATTTCATTGTACCAACAAAAGAATAAATATTTGATGTTATCTCTCGCAATTTGTGGAATAAGTAAGTTTTCCTCATTAATTTCTATAATTTATTATTTTTAATTTTTGATACTTTTATTTGCTCCATAATGATTGTCCAGCTGTTAATTTTAACATCTTACAGTTTACTATCAACATAATAGCTAGAGTTGCAAGTGTTTCCCGGGCTAGGTATCAAGATTAGCAAGCAGGCGCCAAGGATTAGGCATCTTATGTATGCTGATGATAGCCTATTCTTTTTAGAATGCAAGGATACTTCTATACAGGTACTGTCTGGATTACTTGAGGATTATGCTACCTACTCCGGTCAAAGGATCAATCATCACAAATCCTCCATTCTATTGAGTCAGAATACATCTACTACCATGAAAACCTTGGTGCACAACACTTTGCATATTCTAGAAGGTAATTTTCAGAGCAAATATCTTGGTTTATCTTTAGATTTCAAACAAAAAAAAACAGAAATCTTTAAAGAGTTTACAGCTAGGCTCCATAGAAAGTTTGCGGATTGGAAAACAAAGCTTCTTAGCTTTGCTGGGAGAGCTACATTGGCAAAGGCTACTTTATCAGCTATGTTGGTATATCCGATGGGAGTTTTTAAACTTCCAGCCTCCACCTTAAAGAAAGCAGATGGAATCATTGCTCGATTTATATGGAAAGGTGATGATCAGGAGAAAGGTATCCATTGGAAATCTTGGAAGAAAATGGCCAGATCACAGTTCCATGGGGGTTTAGGGCTCAAAGCCACTGTAGAATTTAATCAAGCCCTTCTGGCTAAACATGTTTGCAAAATATTGGCACAACCAACTTCCCTTTTATCCATAATATACAGAGCAAAGTACTACACCATGGAAAATTTTCCTCACAAGACTCCACCCACTAATGCCACATGGGGATATAAGAGTGTTCTCTGGGGAGCAAAACTTCTTCAAAACAACATAAAATGGAAGGTTATTAGTGGTAGAGATATCCCGATTGCCAGTAACTGGATTCCAGGAGTCACCAATCTTATATAGAGCAATTCCTTTCTGGCTCAACATTCTAATCTTATGGTCAATGATCTTCTCAGACCGAATGGACAATGGAAAATATCTCTCCTTCGTTCCCTTTTTTCAGACCAATATATTCCCTATATAACTGGTATATATGTGGATCCGGCAAGGCACATGCAACCGGATGTACTCCTGTGGCAAAAGACAGATCATGGTTCCTACACGGTCCAATCAGGGTATCATGAGGCTTTAAATCGAGATTCTCTCAGCTTTCCTTCTCACGCAAATCAACAGGTTCCTTCACAAATTGAAAGCTTAGCTTGGAAGTTGTGGAATGCTAAAGTGCAAGACAAACATAAATTCTTTTTTTGGAGAGCGGCACTCAATGCCTTACCTTCCAAACAAGAACTCATGAGAAGAGGAATACAAGTTGATACTTCATTCCCAAGGTGCTTTACAGGACTGGAGGACAATCTTCATCTTTTCTTCAACTGTTCAATCTCTCAAGCAGTCTGCAACTTTGCATATCCTAATTTTCAATCAATTCTAAATGGCTCAATGCCCTCCATACGGGATTGGTTTATCTCATGGATTCAAACTCAACCATCTTCAGATGACATTGACCTCTTCTTCTTAATCTTCTGCCGTATCTGGTTAGACAGAAATGATAAGGTGTGGAGAAATCATACCATCGATCCTGTAACCTCATGGAGATTAATCCAATAGGACCTTAAGCAACACCAGGTATTGTTGTCCAGATCAAGGTCACATATGAATTCGATTCTACCTCCCCTTCCTGCAAGGAGTACTATTGAACCACTGTCAGAAATTACTTTTGATGCATCCTTCAACCCCTACAACAAAAAGGCAGCAGGAGCCTGGAGAATTATCTCTTCCACCGGGATGCTAATGCAGATAAAGTCAGTTTCCATCAATTCACTGTCCCCTTTCCAAGCAGAAGCCACTACCTACTTACAGGGATTACAAGATGCCTCATCTTTGGGGATTCAAAGACTCAATATCTACACAGACTGTAAACTCTTGACCATCGACCAGGAAATTTCTAAGTTTCCGAGTGAAGCTCAGGAGATAATAGCTAATATACGTACCCTAACGTCTACTTTTAGGAATTGTTCATCGTTAAAAGTCAGCCGGGCGGTAGTTAAGGATCTACATAATTTAGCCTATGCAAAAATGCGATGTAATAGTTTAGGTAATCCTTAATTAATACGGGTACCTTTTCAAAAAAAAAAAAAAAGATAGCTAGAGCCTGTAACGAATGAATTGGTCTCTTTTGCATTCTATTTCCCTGAAAAAAAAAATTTGAAAATATGGTGGGCTACGATGTTGAAGTGATCCAAGTCTCCAACATCAAAAAGTAAGCTGGAATTTCAGTAGAATTGTGTTGGGCCAACGGCTAATTTTACACACAAGTTTTATATTAAGCCTTTTTGCTTATTCTACAGCCTCATTTAGTACCCAGTATTCCTGTATCATGATATTCTACTGCAATTTTCTGATGCACTTAGCTACTTCATATGGGTAAACTACCGAAAGAAATGATTGACGATTATGCAAATAAAGAGTCTAAGT